GGGGGGGGGGGGGGGGGGGGGGTGGAGCTTCTGGAAGAGGAGGGGGCGACGGAGGATGACGGGGAGAGTCCCCTTCCCATCTTGGAACTATGCAAAAACTAGGGATAGAGTTGTAACACTATCTTACTTTAGAGTTACATAGGCTTTAGTTTTAGCTTTAGATCCGGGATATTGCAGCATTAGACGAAAGATTCTCTCCCACCCTCGTTTCCCCCTCCCCTTTGGATCCATCTATGGACTGTGAATTACATCAAGATCTGTTTATCCCGGGTATAAATTTTTGTAAAATCTCTACTCATGTAATTTGTGCGGTTTCAATTGCAGTGTTCAGCGATTGATTATACCCGGCATACGCTGGACGGTGCAGCAGCACTGCTCAACAGTAACAAGTATTTCCCGAGTCGAGTTTCGATCAAAGAATCATCGATAGCGAAAATTGGTTCGGTGTGTCGGCGAGTGTATCGAATATTTGCACATGCTTACTTTCACCACCCAGAATTATTCGAAAAATTTGAAGTACGAGTTTTTATTATTATTGTTTTTGGGACGGAGAATTTTGCCCTTTTGATCGTCAGTTTCTTTCTCTTATTCGAGCGCATGATTTTTTTTTATGAATAACGCATGGTTTTATCTAAATTACTGATATTCAATAAATAGTTTTCCCTGGATTGGATTTAACTATTCGATCCCAGGCAGAGCTTTCCCTTTTTCATTTCGCTTTATTTCAGCTAATATTTGAATTTTTTCGTTTACAGTTGTGCTTTATGCTGAACAAGTTGTATTTTCGCGATTGTTACATTTCAGTTTTATGGCGATTACTACACAGATTAGATGGTGGTGTTCCTTTCCACAGTGGGCCAGCAACGCAAACAAACTGCATATTTTAATGCATAGACGCGATTTCAGGCCCTTCTCCTTTTCCAGTCTCTTAGCCAGGGATATTCACTGTTTGTATCTCTAAAATTTCTACAACACTTAGATGGCTTCTCTAGTTATGGCGACTCTTGTCTAGCTACGACGGCTATTACCCAGCTATGGTGGCTTCTTCCTATACTGATGGCTTCGCTTGGAATAGCCCTTTACAGGTGTGCCTGGGAAGTAGTTAGAGAAGGACTGGATTTGAGTGAGATTAAATAAAAGACTGTACTGCCCTTCCTATTTCGCTCCTGATTGTATTGGCCGGTGTTTGCAGTTCTCTGGACGGGCTGTTCATAGTTTATATTGATTTGATCCTGATAGAGCCTCTATGGCTCGTACTGCCCTTCCTATTTCATTTCAATTACCTTTTTTTTGCAACAAAAGAAGTATATTTTCAGGCAGAAAGTTATCTTTGCCGCCGTTTTACAGTATTCGTAAAGAAGTACAACTTGATGGCAAATGAACATCTAATTGTGCCCGTACTGCCGGAGCAGAAGCAAAGTCATTCATAATTGGACACGAATTTGAAAATTGTTGAAGCTGTCGCCGATTTTCTTATTGTGCAGTAGTGGTTCCATGATTTGTTCATTTTCCATGGAGTTTTTTAGCTTTTTTTGGATCGAAAAATTCAGAATCCG